AGAGAGAGAGAGAGAGAGAGAGAGAGAGAGAGAGAGAGAGAGAGAGAGAGAGAGAGAGAGAGAGAAGATGTGAGTGTATTTGACATTTTTTTCAGTACTCTATACAGTACGTCTGTGACTGTGCTGCTGCAACATTTCACGGGATAGCTTGTTTTTCTCATAGAGTCATAAGTTGATAATACTTACTAATAACAAGTCAAAAGAAAAAAAACTGAAGAAGTTATAAATTACTATTAATAAATCAATAACCTTTTTTCTTTCTTTCTTTTTGGTGCTGTTTTGTTGTGCCATGTGCCCCAATCAGCAAGAAGAACACAAATTAAGGTAAAGAGCCTCTCACATCTTTCAATTAGTTAGCGATTTGGCATTTTGTACCTCCCTTTTTTTTATTAACCCCTTTTTTTTTCTTTTACTCTCTTTCACATTCCCTGCAATGGCCTGCATTCTAATTCATACATCCCGCATTGACTATTTTTCAGTGCTAAGAGCAGTCGCAAGACCAAGAGGGGGTGATACAGGGGCCTAGCTCAGTCGGTACACCCCCTGAGTTGTTTGAATCCTTATGAAAGCAGATACGTGAAAATTGAAAATTCTGAATTCTGAATTTCCTGGGGCTGTTCAGTTTGATTATGATATCCGAAAGGCCATCAGCCCTTTCTTCTGTGAAAAAAGAAAAGAAAAGAAAAGAAGAGCAAGAGGGGATACATCTGCTTGGGGGATGGCAATAGCAGGGATTTGAGGAAGAGAAGTCCAAGTTGGGGGGTATATACTATATAGTATATAGTATATACTATTTTAGTAGTAGCGATAGCGAAATGACAGAATTCCAGAATGCAAAATCACATTGAAAGCCAGAAAGTCCAACGCTGTCCAGAAAGCAGAAATGCACCGATATATCACCAACGGAGAACCAAAGCACCGAATCCGAATGCCAATCAGAGCATACTCTCGTCACCACCAACATATGTATCCAGAGTCCTTCCTCCTTACTTGGCACCCAGCGCCCAGACTACAATCACGCAGCTACTACCAGCCTACGAATTGACAATGCAACCTGATGACGTCAGCAGCAGAACCGAAGTACATGAAGATGACGGCCCTTGTAGACCATCGCCAAGACCAGATGCGTGTCCTCACTTCATCATCCTCATCTCCCTTTCTCTCTCACCCTCAACTTCTACACCCACGTCATCTCCCTCGTACACGAAGACCACCACCACCTCCTGCTGGCTATCCAAGCCCAAGCCCGCCGACATGGGCTGGGCTATGGCACTGCCCTCAGCAGCGCCCTGCCTCTCGCACGACCGCACGCGTGCACTTCTGCACTGGCGCTAGCAGCAGCACGCGAGCGCTCGCTCCAGCAGCGCTGCCGCCCGCTCTACCAAGTGCCCGATCTCCTCCTACGTAGCCCAGCCCTTTCCTATATGGAAAGTGGCAGGGCTCGTTGCCTCCCGCTTGCCCTGTGAGGCCGAGTTTCCTGTAGCTTCAGTCTCGGCCAAAGTGTCCGCGCCCCAGGCCCGTTCAGACGCCTGGGACCGAATTGGTTAGGCATGTCCAACCGCCCAGGGACAAACGTGCGGTGTTCCCTGTTTCTACCACGTTGCTAGAAGAGCCTGGAAGGCTCACGCATTTTTCCGATTCTCACGAGCAAAGCGGATGTAACCAACTGGCACGTGGCAACTGTCTGGCACCCACCAAGATTTGCAAAAATTGTCGAGTTCAGGGCACATTGAGATTGAGGGGGCCCGCCTTCACTTAGGGCGGGCACGCGCCTGCCGCATGGCCTTATGCTGAGGGGTAAACTCTCGCACATATACTATCATATTTATGTAGTATATACTCTTATATAGTATATACTATTATATAGTATATACTATTGTATCGTACACGATGTATAGTACTAGAGAATAGGATATACTACTTTTATATCGTTTGTAACTTTGGACTATGTTTTTGCGACACACATGGGTGAGGGAGGGATAAGACTGTAAGAGTCATGTAAGCAAGGGACATAAAAAGAAATGACTATAAGCGGAAGGGATAGAGGCGATAAAGTTCCGAGAAACACTATGAAGCATACTTGCAGCGAATAGGTGAGGTGCTCTGTGCAGTGCGGTGCGCTGTCGCTGATGCATGGAAAAAAAAGAAAAAAAGAAGAAAAAAAAGCGGTCATGATATATGTATACACGCGCGCGCACGCGCACGCGCACGCGCGAGAGAGAGAGAGAGAGAGAGAGAGAGAGAGAGAGAGAGAGAGAGAGAGAGAGAGAGAGAGAGAGAGAGAGAGAGAGAGAGAGAGAGANAGAGAGAGAGAGAGAGAGAGAGAGAGAGAGAGAGAGAGAGAGAGAGAGAGAGAGAGAGAGAGAGAGAGAGAGAGAGAGAGAGAGCAAGTGCAGAGTTCTCTCACATTATTCAGAATACCCCTGACGATACTCCGAAAGCCCCCTCCCCTTAATTAACAAGGATTCCCTCACCAAGAAAGAGGTAGTCTCAGGTAGACGTAAAACTATATACGCTGTAGCGTCGAATTCAGGTCAGTGTTTAAGAAGTTATGGGTTGCTAACTTACTAACTCAGCACTAATTTTCAGGGCTTCACTCCACTACTCACCAAATGTGCATTGGGCATGAATCTTCTGCTCAGCACTAATTTTCAGGGCTTCACTCCACTACTCACCAAATGTGCATTGGGCATGAATCTTCTGCTAGAACATGGAACCATATGCCGCCATATGCTTTGTCTTTTGTGCAAGTCGTGACTGGTGGAGTGAGGCCCTTAGGGCCACTGCACGTAAGAAAAGGAAAAACAAACAAAAGAGAGAACTACCGTAGTATTAGTAGCGAGTTAGTAACCCATAACTCCAGGAACACGGTCCTGAAAATTCGAATCCAGGCCATATATTGATGGCCTTCTCGTGTCCTAACTGCACTTTTAATGAATGTCTCTCCAAAGAAATGGGACCCTTGCTAGTTCTCTTCTGGGATCCCTTTGGACAAGAGACTGGACACAATGAGGAGTATGATGTGGCCCCAAATTCTTTCTTTCTGTGCACTTGCAATTTTCATGGAGAGAGGGCTTCGTTTGGCTACCACTGCCTGCCCTTTTCGATTTTTTTTATTTTTTTTAATTTTATTTTATTTTTGCACTTGCGCTGCATCATGTGCGCAACTTGCGCGCACATGATGCGCAGCATGTATGCTTTGAAGTTTTAACATGTATGAACTTGGAGGGGAAAAGTATTTTTAATTTTTTTTTTTCTTCTCAATGTGCAAGGATTTGAGCCCCTCGGCAGCGTTGGAAAAGGCCGTGCCTGCATTAAGTGAAGGGGGGCCTGCCAATATGCACCTACGCCTGAGTACAGGCCAATGTGACCACGGAAAGGGCACAATCCCGACGGGTCCTCATCTGGGTTTTGCTGAGTCCATGCCTCAAGCCAGACAGTTGCAGCCCGTTGATGCTGTGTGACCACAACCAACTCACCAGACCTGACGCTGCCTATGGGCCAACACGAGCAGACAGGAGCAGGCACGCTGGGCAGTTGAGCCCTCCAACCAAACGGGGCCCTGAGAGAGAGTAAGCACTCGCACACACGACCAGACTCCGACGCAGAACTCGACTGGTACGATGAGGGTGCTCAGAAAGAGTACCAGCAGCAACTCAATGTCGAACTTACACTCAATGTCTGAAAACTGAGTACAGCACAAGATGTCTCACCCTCGTGTGAGACTGGTACATATACCTGGGAGCAGCCTAACGGCCAGGCTGGGCGCAGGGGTACATACAAAATCCGTCAGTACCAGAAGGGTACCAGTAAAAATGTCTGAGGGACAGAAATGCAAAATGTGCTGGTACCTATGACATAGGTATACAAAAATAAATGTCCGGTACCAGGCATGAGTTCCAGGGATCGATCCCTGGCCAGATCCATAACACCGTCAGCTCTTCCCTACCCATCAGCAAGCAGAACCTCCAAGGCATTGAAAAACAAAAATGCAGCACCTACTAATAGCCTTTTCAGCAAATTCAAACCCACTGATGCCGCCTGCCTGTCGTTGATAGGCTATGAGTGAAACTCAAATTCACTGAAAACAGTGAAAAGGCTATTCATTGTAGGCAGGCTGCATCAGTGAATTTGACTTTGTTGATGCCAGCAGCCTGCCTTACATTGATAGCCTTTCAAGAATCGCCCATCTGTCCATTACCAAGCTTCCCCTGCGACCAGGGTCCCGTTGACCCAGTGCCAGAATAGGAGTGCTGGACCAGTTGGTGGGTTGTAGAATAGGAATTTATTTTTGGGACTGGGCCACATTGGTATCGGAGCAGGCCGGTGGTAACCAGTTGGACCAATTCTGGTTATTCTTGGTACTATCGAGTGCGGGACCTGGCGACTGGTTTACAACAATTGGGCACAACTAAGACATGGTTCGCAAAGACTCGCAAGAGTATTAAGAACTGGCATGTGTCGATTTGACTCCTTTTGCACCTCGTGTGCATGGAGCCGGAGCAGACAGGGATGCAGCGTGGGTGGGAAGGGGAAGGTGTGGTGTGGTGGTGTCCACCTCTGGTGAGTACGGGCTAAACGAACATTGTTACGGGCTACTCGGCTACGAGCGATGGCGTCGTGGTGTTGCTGTTTTACGCAATGCCATTCTACAGTTGTTGTTCTGCTGTCTAGGATGCATGGGCGTGATGCTTTGGTGTACCACTGTACGTATGTGTGTGTGATTTTATAGCTTGTTACCCCCCTGGGGTCAGTGAATCTGAATTGCTGATCCAGCCTCCGTGGTTTTTTTTGTTTGTTTTTTTGTTTTTTAACTTTTTTTTTTTTTTTTTCCCAAACTGCTCTTGCTCCTTGCTTTGTGAGTGTTTCTTGTTCTCTAAAATCCCCCCGTCACCGCTGGAGTAGGAGTATCCTGACGAATGTTGCAATCTGCTGAAGATTTGGGATGGAATGATGTTGAGCGGCTTGAGCCCACCCATCTTACCGATGCAGCAAAATCTGCTGAGCAGGGGAAGTAACTCCAACCGAGTGATGTTGGGCCCACCCATCTAGCTAATGCTGCAATTCGTTGAGTGTCAGGGGTGAATGACGTTGAGCCCACCCCTCCTAACGATGCTGCAAAATCTGCTGAGCACCGGAAGATTCGGAATGGGATGATGTTGACCCCACCCCTCTTGCCAGTGCTTCAATCTGCTGAGCATGGAATTGAATGGTGGTTGAGCCACAGGGAATTGTTTCTTGTTCGTGCATACGACGTGCAGGGAATCGTTTATCGAGGACATGATGCATGTGAACAATACGATCAGGTATGTTGAGTTTCTTTCTTGTGTGAGCCCTTTTAAATACGTTGGACATTGGGCGTGCTAAGCAGGTAGGCCCCTATAAGAGTGCAAACGGGACTCCGAACCGCCAACCACCGACTGTTTGGCACATCCGGAGGGTGCTCACTGAGCCATCCGCTGAGGGACCTGCACATGTCCCTTTCCGGCAAGCTAACTGAACAGACCCCTATGACGATGTCCCGCTCGGGACCTCATCCCTTTCCATTCTCAATAAAATGCCTACCTCCCCGGCGGTTGATTGATTGTCTGTCACACAGTACTACGTAGACACATATGTGACTGTTCGCAAACTGACCAGGCGTTCAAATCCTGTTCAATTCGATAATGAATGTTAGGGGCTACACCCTTCAACACATCACCACCTCAGCCAGAACGAAAAGAAACGAGCTCTGCGCCGGCTGACTTTGGGATTGGCACGCAGCAGAAATCCACCACAGGAAAAAGATGCTAGGAGTTGGTGGTGGTGGCTTAAAGTGGGGAGGGGGAGGATCAGGAAAACAAGTTAAGTAAGCCATTGTCATATATATCAATTTCACCCTTCAATCTTCCTCTCTTCAAATGTGATTGGTGATCTCCTGGCTGATTAGGTTACAACATCCACTGTTGATTATAAAGGGGGTGGGTATCTCAGTTTTCCCATGCTGGTGCTCAGAGGGTTAATTAATGTTGGGAGAAATTGGAGAATGCCATTTCAGATCTTCTTCAAGTCCCAATCTTGTTAATTACATCCAGTTCAAGTGCCCACGTGGCACGTGCCATTCCAAAAGTTATTCAGGTCCCACTCTTCCACTCTTTCATTTCGAGTCCCACTTGATGTCCCACAGGTCAATTGCAGCAGAACCTGCAATTTCAAGTTGTGCCTCAAGTCCCATTCTTCAATTTCAAGTACCACCTCCTCAAGTCCCATCTCTTCAAGACCCACCTAAAACTCCCACCTCCCTAAATTCCACTGGTAGAATCCTGCATTTCAAGTGTCACTTCTCACCGTACCAAGGTTTGTATCTTGCAGAGCTCTCCACTCATGTTCTCTGTCTGTCTGTCGAGGGTCCCCCTGGTACCACGAAGGGTATATTCCCAAGAAGGGTATAGATAGGGTTGCCACGCCCTCTATTTTGTTTATTAAAAAAAAAACTTGAAATAAGGAAAAAACATGGTTGCCCCGGACCCGTGTCTGGATTAATCCGAACGTCCGGTAAACCGGACGTACAGACCCGGACGGTCCGGTTATGAAAGAACAGGTCCGGATGTCCGGAAAACACACACACACACACACACACACACACACACACACACACACACACACACACACACACACACACACACACACACATGCTACTGTAGTTGTGTAACTTGTGCTATCCGACTTATCTTGAACACATTCACATACACACACAGTGCCGTGCACACACACAGCTGCAAGAACAATGGAAGGGGTACCCCAAGGACAACCAAAAACTGTCTAATTATAAAATTGCCTTAATGTGTTGGCTTGTGACTGTCTCATCTCAAATGCTCTCGTTGATTCTGAATCTATTCATCTGGGTGGAATTGGGGCTGTTGGGAGGGAAATCACATGCAGACACACACACACACACACACA